CCACTCACTCCTGGGGAGAAAGATGGGGCTTTCTAATCCCTTAAACGGTTACAGTCTTTTCTATCCTGTCCTATAGGGTTGTGCTGTTATAGGGTTTGAGGTTGTGAAATGAGAAGAACTTTTTTGTTCTTCTAAAGAAGTTCTTTGTTAATCCTGTGTCTTCCTTCTACATATGAAGTTAGTATTTGTGTTTTCCTTTTTTTTTTAAAGAACAAAGGTAGGATCTGGATTAAAATTGCATTGTGTGTATGGATTGCTTTGGGTAGTATTGAAAGTTCACAAGGCCTTCCTATAGGTCTCTTTGGTTTCTTCTAGTAGTGTTCTGTAGTTTTCTTTGTACAAGTCTTTTGTTTCTCTAGTTAGGCTTATTCCTAAGTATTGCATAAAAAATCAACACCTTAATGCAGTATCTTCAATATCTAGAAAGAGGAGACACAAATAGGAAGGATGTGAGATGAAAGTGGTGAAATCACAACAGACCCAAATGAAATTTAAAACTATAATGGCTTATTACTATGAGAGGCTGTACTCCAACAAGTTTGAATCCTATACTAAACAGATAAATTTCTAGAAATGCACTGTCTACCCAAATTAATACAGACTAAGCTAAAATACCTCAATGAACAAACATAACAAAAGAAGAACTAGATAAAGCCATTAAAAAAACCTTCCACCAAAAAAAATAATCCGGGGTCAGATGGTTTCACTAAGGAATGCGACCAAGGATTCAGAGAAAAGTTGACATGAATTCTACATAAACGTCTTGAGAAAATAGAAAAGGCCAATAAAAAAAACAAGTCTGTAAAACACCACATGACATGGACAAAATTAGGGGACATTATGCTCAGCAAATTATAGGCAATCCCATAAAGGTACATATTTTTATAAAGAAAAAAAAATGGTGTTCCTACCAAAGGAAAAGGCTTTGATGGTTATGTTGAGACCAGTGGTGGGAGGGAGGGAGGAGAAAAAGGAGCGACAGGGAGGTAAGAAGAGAGATGAAGTGGAGTCAAAAGAAGAAGGAACCATAGTCACAGGGGCTTTACCAGGATACTGTCACTATTTTGATGTAATGGATGGCGCAGCGACGTATAGTATATTCTTTGTATGTTATATTAAACAAAAGGAAAATGCAATGTTTTATTTCTTATGCTTATATATAAATAAAAGGGAAAGTAACACAAAATAAAAGGGAAAATAATAAAACTGAATAAAATTTAACATTTTAATTAAAAAAAAGAAAGCGAAGGGTCACAGCCCTAAAAGCCCTTAGCCAGCAGACCGCAACACTGAGCTGATTGGCTATAACAGGAAGAAAAGTGAAAATAACATTGAAATTGATGAAAATTATTTTGTTACAAGCTAGCTGGCTTAAAAACATTTTTTTTACCAATAAACCCCCCAATTCATGTTATGAATTGAGCATAACCCAGATACCACAACCAGGCAAACATATTACCAAGATAGAAAAGTACAGGCCAATATCTCTCATAAACATAGATGCAAAAATTCTCAATGAAATACTGGCCTATGGAACTCAACAATATATCAAACACTAATAATACACACGATCAAGTGGGATTCTTATCAGGCAAACAAGAATGGTTCAACATTGGAAAAGCAATTAATGCAATCTACCATATAAATAAAACCAATAAAAATCTATGCTTTTTAACACTTTAAAGAGGTCTTGTACATGAGTTGTCCAATTCAAAACATTTTATTTTTTGACTTCGTCTTGACTGTGGATTCAAGTAAAACAAAATCCTTGACAAATTCAATATTTCCTCCATTTAGCATGCTGTTGTTTATTGGCCCATTGGGAAGTGTTTTTTTTTCTTTATGTTGAGGTGTAATCTATACTGAATACTCCAGTTTTTTATCTTCATTAGTAACTGCTTCAATTCCTCATCCTTTTCAGTAAGCAGGGTTGTGTCATCTACATATCACAGGTCGTTAATGAGTCGTCCTCCCATCCCCAAGCCCGTTTTGCTTTCATAGGTCCAGTTTCTAGGATTCTTTGCTCAGCAGACAGATTGAATAAGTTGATGAAAGAATACAACCCGGACACACACTGGCCAGTTTTTAAGCTACGTGCTATCCCCTTATTCTGTTTGAACATTTACCTCCTGGTACATGCTGAGGTTCCACACGAGGATAACAACGTGTTTTGAAATTCTCATTCTTCACAGTGCTATCCATGGTTTGTTGGGACCCACCAGCTGGAAGCCTTGTCAGTCAACAAAACACAGGTAAACATGGTTCTAGTATTCTTTGCTTTCTGTCAAGATCCATCTGACATCAGCCATGCTGTCCCTTGTCCCAGGCTTTCTTCTGAACCCAGCCTGAATTCTGGTAGCTCTCTGTTGAGGTACTAGAGCAACTATTTTAAAATTATTTTCAACACAATTTTACTTGGGTGTGATATTAATGACATTGCTTATAATGCCCACATTATGGTGGATCACTTGTCTTTGGAATGGGCCCAGATAGGAATCTCTTCTAGTTCATTGGCAATGTAGCTGTTTCCAAATTCCTCAGTATAGTTCATTGAGCACTTCCAATGTTGCACCAATTGGTTGCACCATTCTCAGTTGGTATTTTATCAATTCCTGTAGCTTTGATTGTTGTTGTTTTTTCCTCTCCCAATGCCTCCATTGTACCTTGGATCCCTTCTTTTAATACCATTGGTTCTTGGTCATACATTACCTTCTGAAATGGTCAAATAACTGCTGTATTACCAAGGCTAAGAAGACACAGAACTGGAATTGAGTATAAGCATCCCTCGGAGATGCTCCTGATTCCATTCCAGACCATCACAATCAACTGAATAAAGTAAGTCACATGAAACATTTGGCTTGCTGTTAGGTGCATGGGTTCTTTCTGTCCCATAGTGACTCCTATGTACAATAGCACAGAGCACTTCCCAGTCCTGCACCATTCTCAAATGATGTCATTTTCCAGGGACTCATCTCTCCTGATAACCTGCCCAAAGGACATGAGATGAAGTCTCACCATCCTCGCTTCTAAGGAGCATTCTGGCCATATTTCTTCCAAGACAGATTTGTTTGCTCTTTAGGCAATCTGCCGTATTTTCAATATTCTTCTCCAGCACCATAATTCAAATGCATCAATTCTTCTTCAGTCTTCCTTATTCATTGTCCGATTTATTGCACTATAGTTTATCATAGGGATTCTAGTGGTGTGATGACTAAAGCACGGGGCTGCCAACTGAATGGTTGGCAGTTCAAACCCAGCAGCCACTGTCTGCTCCTACAAAACTTTATAGTCTCAAAAAAACTCCAAGTAGCAGTAATACGCTATCCTACAGGGTCACTATGAGTCTGAATTAACTCAATGGCAGTGGATTTAGTCTGTCCAGTGTGCAATAGCACTATGAAAAAAAGACAATATTGTGAGAATTGACAAAATGAGACATGAAGTGAATATGCTTTGGAAGTGAATATGCTTTGTAAGTAAAATGGAATTGATAGGCCTGCTCAGTCCAGGGTTCCCATAAGCCTCCAATTTGTGGATAAAGATAAATGAAGTCTCTGTGAAGCACAATAGAGTGAAGCTCAACAAGACAAGGTATGCTTGCATGTGTTGAATTAATATGGGGGTCCTGTGTGGTACAATGATGAAGGGACTCAGCTACTAAGAGGGTGAAGGTTCAAATCCACCCTGAGGTGCCTCAGAAGAAAGGTCTGGCCGCTTCTTTTTTTAATTGACCACTGAAAACCCTGTGGCGTGTCATTACACCCCAACACACAGGGGGTCACTAGGAGTTACAGTCACAGGCACTGGTTGTTGATTTTCATCCTTTGTGTTTTATTTAATATATAACTTGCTCCCTTGACCACCCCCAATCCTCTGTAATTATGGATGTAGACAAGGTCCTAGTAGCCTCATCTCATGAACTCAGTAGATTTGGTGACTTGTCGAAGTTTTTATAGCTACTTATGAACAGAATTTAAATGAAAATCTCTATCTGAGACTGTTATTCTTTCTACTTTTGTTTCACTTTCTCTCTCTCATGCACACACACACACACACACACACACACACACTTTTCAACCTTTGTGAATGAATCCTAAGTCAAGGTAAAATGTTAACTATGATAATCACTCTGTGCTGATGCAACTCAAAATATAAGTTCAAATATACCTGGGAAGGTATTGAAAAGAGAGAAGGTATGATTTTATTTAACTATAACTTTTCATTGAAAAGCACAGAGACTTCCTTCTAGAGACCAGAATAAATGCCTCTTGGAACTCTGAGCACAAAAGAGGAAGTCTGATTCAGAGTCATAAAAATGTGTGTTGCAATCGGTGCTGTGTCACAGAGACTCACTGAAAAGATAGGGTTAAGGCCACAAAATAAGCTGCAAGCCATATATGGAGAAACCCGGTTCTTCAGACATGTGATGAACTCATTCTGCTTTCTGTTTGTCAAAGCTGAAGGCAGCTGTGCTTTGTGCAGCTGCCGGGGACCAACCGTGAAGAACGGGTAACTCTCCGAACCTGGGAGATGCTCCATCGCAGCCCGCGGGCCTCCCCACCCGACAGCCCAAGTGTGCGAGCCACACTGACCGTGACGACCTGGGTGGTCTCTTTAGCCTCCTGCTACTCCTACACTTCGAACACTTTACCAGATATCAAAAATGAAGAGTTCATCAAAGAGTGCGTTCGATTGCACAATATGTTCCGATCAGCTGTGAGCCCGGCAGCCAGTGACATGCTGTACATGGTAAGGAAGGGATCGCCATGGGGCAGAGTCAGCGCGAAACACGCTTATGCGCATTGATTGGGGGTGGGAGTCCTCGCTAATCCTGAATGACTTTTTAAAATGTGATTGATGCACGCAGTCAATCCACAACCTGTGATCAAGCCGTCCTCCGTTCCACTGTTTACCTAACTCTTGTTCTAAGCCACCTATGCAGGTGCATTTGACTTCTCTTTTTGAACACTTCCTTTCCTCTGGTCTTGGGTCAATTACCTCTCTCTCTCTCTCTCTTTCTCATACACACTCTCTCTCTGTCTCTCCCTCTCTCTGTCTCTCCCTCTCTCTTTCTGTCTCTGTCTGCCTCTCGCTCATCTTAAAAACATTTGTCTCCTGTCAGTGTCTGAGCATCTTCTGATCACAGAGTGTGCGGCTGGCAGGGCACGGGTCTTCTTTGGGCACAGAAGGGGTGGGATGACTGTGCGTGTGGGCGTGGGTGTGAACCCCAGCCCTGGGGTTTTGAGGCACTTTCACTTCCGGGCCTGCAGTAATTCCCGTAGACAGGAGCTGCAACACCGTGCAGACTGTGCTGCACATCGTAGGCCTTCAGTGAGACGTTGCTCTAGTTCCCGCCCTTAGATTCTAAATTCCACGAAACCAGGTGGTCACGTTTCCTGCCAGCCAGCCCTAGTCAAGACTTGCACTTGAACGACTTAAGACTAGTTATAGAGAAGACGCATGCGCAGTCTCCTTTTCGCGCCGTTTTCTCTTTTCTCCTTGTTAGACACCTGCCCGCCCATTCCAGTTCCCACTCTGCTCGCTGCAGTTACTGTGCTAGCCCACAGTTTTCCTTCTTAACACTCTCATTATGCAATACTTATTTTCAGACTTGGGACCCGGCATTAGCTCAAATTGCTAAGGCGTGGTCCAGCACCTGCCAGTTTAAACATAACGATCGGTTGAAGCCGCCCCACAAGCTACACCCAAACTTCACGTCGCTGGGAGAAAACATCTGGACCGGGTCCGTCTTCGTCTTTTCTGTGTCTTCAGCCGTCACGAGTTGGTACGAGGAAGTCGAAGACTATGACTTCGAAACGAAAGCCTGCCGAAAAGTCTGTGGCCATTACACCCAAGTAAGTCTACGCGCCAGCTCTCCGTGGGCTGTTCGGTCAGGGTGCGCAGAACACTGGACGCTGATGGTAATGATCTGCAGACTTACAGCAGAGCTGAGTTGCCAGAATCACCTCAATGCAAGGATGCATTTGAATCACACGCACGTACCTTCTGACTGCCGCTGACTTTACAGGTGGGGAGCAGGAGACTCAGCAACAGTCTCAAGTCCAGGCTGATTCCTATGAGGCAGACGTCAGACCGGCCACTATCTTCCAACCTTTTTTTCGTTGTTGTTTTAAACACTTCTGACACCAACTGTCCCTCCCAAGGTCTTCACTTCTTCACTGGGTTTGATAATTCATTGCAATAGACACGGGGAATTCGCAGACCACGTTTACAGGGACTCCCCCAAACATCCTCACAATTGTGGGGTTTTCAAAGGAAAGTTAACAGGTTACATTCCAGGATCAGAAATGGTCAAGATACATGTCTGCAGTCAGGACAACCAAATCACACGCAGGCCCTTCTCTGGTTGTTGGTCTCTGCCTTGTTCCAGGCAATGTTAGCAGGCTTCTCGAAGCCTCGGCATTCGCCTTTAGTTTTGTGGGTCTGCAAAGCTGGATCCCCAAACAAATGCCTGGGAGGCATCCCACTCAGCCAGCCAGCCTCCTGCCTGAAGGCACTCCGTTTTCTCACTCCCTAAGCTGGAAAGCCCGCCACTCTGTCCTGGGCTTGTGGTGCTGCCCCTGTCGTCCCCACTTCTCCGCCGCTGCTGCTCCGGCAGCGCTGCCCCTCTGGTGCTGCTTCTGCCACCTCCCGCTCTTTCTGCTGTCACTGCTCTGTCCCCTGGGTCAACGAAGTGCAGTGCAGGGATCTTGTATTCGAAGATCACTCCACTCTTGGGTCCTCTTTCTTTTCTTTCCTTTCCTTTTTTTTTTTTTTGTTGGCATTTAAATCACATATATCATACAATTCAATAGTTCAATCATATTTTTAAAAGTTGTGCAATTCTCAAAATCAATTTTAAAAATATTTTCTTCTTTCTTGTAGTTATGGTTTTTAGCCCCCTTGTCTTCTCCCAACCTCCCCTGGCATGTCCCTAGGTGATTATTAATTATTAATCTAATTACTGACTCTATAGATTTTCCTATACTGGATGTCATCTACTAAAAACAGAATATGAAAACATACAAAGCAAAACCAAGAAACCAAAAAAAACCCCTAACAATGACACACGAACACAGAGAAAAGCCTCAGTAGAAAATCAGACAATATTAAAAACTGGACCAAATTTAAAATGTGTCAAAAGGACGAGCAAATGACAAGATAATTGTCTTTACGCTGTTGTCTGGTGGAAAGGCTATTCACACATCTGCCCTATGGTCAGCGACTTAATCCTCACACGGGCCCTGCAGGTAGATGTGTCACTTCCACTCTCACCCATAGCTTCTACAAACTGGGGGTTCAGAATTTAAGCTCTGATCCCATTCTCTCTGGATTTGGATTCTATTGCTTATATTATTATTGACTTTTACTATTTATAATCCGTGGATCACTGATGTGTGTCTTCCATGTGGACGCAGTTGACACCTCACTTAGATGACTGCTTGCTTTGAGACTTACCTTTAAGACTTCAGGTGGTATTCTTTGATAGCCAGGCACCACCTGATTTCTTCATCACACTTTGCTATAGCACCAATATCTTCAATGATCTCTCCATGAGGGCAAATATCAAATAGGGCCATGTCATAAGAACTAATTATTCTTATGTTAGGACAATGATTAAACTTGAGCCCATATTTCTATGGTTTATATATGTCCCTGGTTCATTTTAGAGACAGCATTTGAGAGAGGAGGCCTCACCTCACCCGGGAAAAATTCCTCAGGATTAGGAGAGAGGGAGAAGACCAACCACTTCCTGCCATATAACACGGTCTGCAGCCCACAGGAAATTCCAAATAAGAGATGGGGCTTGTGGAGGCTGGGCAGGGGGGCAGGCAGGTATCCTGTGTTGAAGAAATGCGGGGAAACTGGGTGGGGTAACCTGTCATGAGGAAAAAATGCTTGATGTTACTTATATAACCCTCAAGGGGAGAATACACCAGATAGCATGTTCCTAACTGGATGCTTTTGACCTAGTTTCTATGTAGGCCCTGGCGACCCAGACCTCATGCTACAGACAGACAACTAGGACTTTAGACTCTGCCCTTTGAGGTACATATTTCACAGGCCACACCAGAAGGATCCCACTAGGAAATCCCATAAGCAAGCTCAACTTCACCTTAAATTCACCTGTAGCAGACTGGAGGGACTGAACTCCCCTTCACTTCAGGCTGCAATGCCCCCGTGTGAGAAGCAGCAGATGGCCACTATCCCAATGGTATGGGATTGATGGCCATTAAACTTTGGTTTGGATCTCCTCCTACCATGGCCTATGACTGCCCTATATCTATTACTATGTTCTTACTCTCTGTGCTTTTTGTTTAATGAAATGGGCTAGTCTGGCAGGTATGGCTCTGCCTTTGTGAATGAGTGTTATTAAAAACTTTGCCCTAGCCCTAGCCCTGCTGTTTGTGTCAATGATGTCCCATCATGTAAATGTTTAACCTGCACAAGTCAACCATCCATGTATTGTGGCCTGAAAAGCTGGCCTACACATGTATAATTTTCTTGCCTTGACAGTGTTTTAAATTCTGCACCACTGGCTAAACTACTGATGCTATCAATATATAGCTTCATGTTACATGGAGGGGTTTATAATGTTCTCCAATAAAACGTTAATAAAAGCAAAAACCCAAACTCACTGTCACGGAGTCCATTCTGCCTCTTAGCAATGCTACAGGGCGAGGTAGAACTGACGCTGGGGGCTTCTGAGATTGCAGCGATTTACAGGAGTAGAATGCTGCATCTTTCTCTGAGGAGCTGACCGTGAGGCAACAGCCCATGCACACCCACGAGGCCATCAGGGCCTCCCTAAATGATAGTGCTGTCTTTAAAAGTAGCCAGGGACATAGATAAACCATACACGTGTGACTGGCTCTTCTTTCTTAATGGTAGTAAGAGCCATGTTTCTGCTCATTTTAAACTTACTCAGAGGGCAAAACTGATCAATCAATCCCACTTTTGGAGGCCATATTTGAAGGTTTCCTCTCCAAGTGCGCCATGGACCCTATTTACATTACTAGTCATCTATTCAACCCCATTGCAGCACTACAGGCACTTCACATTTGCAAAGTCTGAGCCAGTCTTTTGGTAGGAAATACAAAGACTATAGCTCGAAAAGTTATATTAAGTAATTCACTGCATGTACAACTATCCTTTGGTGTTCCATCTAATGTTAGCAGTATACTACATAGAATATGAAAATATATCTGTGAATTTATATGTAGTGTTTCCACTGCCCAAAGACAAATAAAGACCAGATTTAGAAAGATGCTGATCATAAAAAAGGCAATAAACACTAAAGTCCAAGACTACCTTACATAGTAAGCCAGTGTACCTGTAGCTGTTAGTGTGCCTATAAGTAAGAACTAGTGGCTATATACTTTTAAAAATAAAATACTTAAAAAACTTTTTAAATAAAGGAATGGGAGGATACTGTTAAAAAGTTAAGTGGCTAACGCTAAGAATTAAACCTGCCAATCTGGATAGGCTTTGAAGATTTCTGATAACAAGCTAACATCACTTGGGGCTTTATTCCATTTCTGTGTCATCAAAAGCCCTTATGACTCAATCTGTCTCCAGGCCCTAGCTGGCATGAGTCCTCAATGAAATTTGAGACACTGTTTTGGAACTAAGAACTTGGGAGAAATGAGCCTCTCAGACAGTAAGAATGGATGCTTCAACAACCTCTTATCTGCTCAAGCATTGACTGAGAGTCTTCTAGGTGCCAGGCCTTTTGCCATACCATGGAGAAAACACTGTTTCAGCCCCACTGAGGAGGGCAACAGGGAAACTTTTATAAACCATCCTGTGGTTCTTCCGCCCCTCAAATCCACGGTATTAGTTCTGGGGCCACATTTAGAGTCTTCCACTGAGTATATTTTTATTCCAACTGGTTTTGCCTTCTGGACGCTAACTCAAGTTTGTAACTGGACACTAACAATTCCTAACTCGGCTTGTCTGTAGTTTTGGTATGCTGCTTTTCTGCCTGTGCAACATTTAGCTGGTTTCTTTTTCATTCCTGGCCGTCTTTATCAAACCAAGAGCTCAAGAGACGGAGCCTATGATTGACTGGTTTCAATGTCAATAAACAGTTGGGATGAAGTATTAGGACAGCCACATTTTCATGTGGCTGCCATTGACTCAGCCCCTGACCTATTGATCCCATTGTGCTTGGGGTCACAGATTGTGGAAGGAGCCCGGGTGTGGTTCCTAGCCAATACATCACAAACCTAGCTACTACTCATCTGTTGGTAGATGCTTGTGTGTTGCTCGGCTGCTGAGCAGTTTCAGGAGAGCACGGGGACTAAGGAAAACTAGGAAGAAAGGTCTAGTGATCTGCCACAAGCCAGCCAATGACAAGTAGTTCGGGATGGCAAGCACAGATTCGGGGATTTTAGAAAGCCTCTCCTCTCAGTTCAGCCTTAGAAAGCTCCCAGTCTCATTAATGTTGTTATTTACAAACAAATTCGGCACAGGCATATGGAATGGCCACAGTGAAAGGGAAAAGACTGATTTTAACACAATTTCTACCTCAGTGATTATTGTTATCTAATAGGGGAAACTGATCAAATAATTAATAGCATTGGTCTCTTTCTTAGATGTATGAATAGGTTTCCTCTAGTCATATCATATAAAGTAACTATTTTGGTTTATGTTTACAAATAAACTAGAAAAAAATATTTTAGGTTTTCACACATACTGCCAGGCAAGCATGTGAAGTACAAATTGCCGACAGGGGGTTGTAGGTACCATTTCCTATACCAAGAGCTGCACTGCCCCATGAAGTTGGTTCTGGCTCCTAGCGATTCTCCAGGATAGAGTACAACTGCCCCTTATCATGTTTTCAAGGCTGTAA